TAATAAAATTTTCAATACAGATTATGAGATACATAAAAATATTAAAGAATAAGAAGCTTTTAAAACAAAAACAAACAAAAAACGCATATATATACGAATGACTTACAGTCGAGCATCGGAAATTCATCAACATATCTTACGAAATTTTAATTTGAAAACGATATTTGCGCGCGCTGAAGTGATTAATGTTTATTTGAATAAATCAAATAAAAAGAACTTATATGTTTGTGTTCTAAAAATAATTGGCGGCATAAGACGAATTTCGTTTTCATTTTACAACACTTGAAAAATTACTACAGAAAATATATTGTTGTTTTTTTTTGTTTTGTTTTCAACAAAAGTGTGTGTGTTTTAAGTTCATTTATTCTCGGCGCCGGAATAGCCATATGTCCGAGATTATAGCACCGGGGACGTCTTTTTCAAGCAGAATCTTCCTGTTAGCCCATTTTTCGTTCGTTAGTGGTAAAGGAGACGACAGTACTGTCAAGGCATCAACTTCCTGACTGACGACAACAAAAACGGCATTCATTAGCGCCAAACCTCCAGAGTAAGTTACGACAGGTCAACCAATCACCTCTGGTACTTGAGATGACTTGACCTTGACCTGCCGTGTGCCTTCTCCGCGACGTGCATACCTCTGGAGGGATTTGGAGAAGTTTCAACAAAAACCTCCAAAACACGCTATTTATAACACCATTCATAGCACTGACGCTTAGATGTTCTCATCTATTTGCGGGAAATGGTCGACAAGTAATAACCGCACACCCTGTTAACAACAGATTTTCCGCAGTATATATTTCAAGCTAGTGAGGTTTAAAATCTATCGATTAACTACCATAAGTTGGTTGAGTGTTGGCGGTAAAAAAAAAATATATAACTTCCTGATCAATTTTCACTTAGGTTGATTCAATTTTGAATAAGCTTTGCAGATATGTATTTTTTCAAGAAATATTTAGCTTTAATATTATCCGAAGCCGTCAAAGTCAGCGACGAGTAATGAAATGGGAATAATTTTCTGAAACGTGATTTTATTCGAGATTTGCTTCGGGAGAAGACAACTTTCTGTCCGTAGAGCATGAATTTTAATACTCATCACAAGACAGTGTCTTATTGATCTCAATTATGGTACATGTAAATATGTATAATTTTCATGTTCAATTAAAATGTTGCTTAACTTACAGTAGTTATTATCATTCAATGATATTAAAATGACATAAAGTTTTTTATGATGAACAGACCTAGACTATTTTGATAAGGAACCGTCAGTTGTAAAATGGTATTATGATCTTATAATGAACAGTCGTTATACCTGCTGGTATGTCATTTATAAATTTCAAAATTTGCATGATTAACAGTCCGAATGTAGACCTCAATGAAATGTTCTGGAATATTAACAAAATGAATAGTCAACCATATTAACCATATATATGAATGGTTGAACGATAAATGGCGCAATGTGCATATCTTCTTATTTAACATATACTCAATGTAATTATTATAGATGTTGAAATATGAAATTTTTTCAAAACGGCTTATATTAAGTTTTTTTGATATATATGATCAGTACATGTGCTGGGATTGACAAATATGCATTTTATTTGGATTTTAAAGGCGTTTTGAGCTCCAAACCCCAAGTGTCTGTGATATTTACCACCAATATCAATCATTTTTAAAATTGGAGCGAAGTCTCTCTCCTTTTATTGTTTATACGATAGAACAACAACAACAACAACAACAAAATAAAACATTTTATCACATTTATTTCCCATATAAATACTTAATTTAGGCATTAATAAAAGAAAATCCAATGAAACGCATGTATTCAAATGAATGTATGAGAACGGAACTATTCAATTTCAAAGGAATTGGTCTATAACAAAATGTCGTCTGTAAAACAATGAATAATAATTACATTGAGTAATTAGTATAAGACAATATAACAAATGTATCTACCACCAATAACAATCATTTTTATGATAAGTACGAGGTCTCCCTCCTTTTATTGTTTATATGATTGAACAACAACAAAATGAAGCATTTTGTTTTATCATATTTTCAAAATATATATGAGCCGCGTCACGACAAAACCAACATAATGGGTTTGCGACCAGCATGGATCCAGACAAGCCTGCGCATCCGCGCAGTCTGATCAGGATCCATGCTGTTCGCTATCAGTTCCTCTACTTGCTATAGGGTTTGTAAGCGAACATCATGGATCCTGATCAGACTGCGCGGATGCGCAGGCTGGTCTGGATCCATGCTGGTCGCAAACCCATTATGTTGGTTTTGTCGTGACGCGGCTCATATGTAAATCAGGCATTTTTAAAGCAAGTCTAATACATGTCCACGAATTCTGCTGAGAAACATTTGAAACAGTTTTATTTGCAACGAACAATTTACAGAAGTTACTCAAGACATGGTCTCTATGCAAATGCAACTCTGGCAGCTCAACATAGATTATAAGTATCATTATTTCACACCTTATAAAATATAGCTAATGCACTTTCAGCGTTAGTACCACGTGATGTTCCGACAGAAATCATTATTGGATGATTAAACCTCATTTTTATTTCCAGAGTCCAAAAGTCCGTATCAAATCATATCATAACAAGAAGATTTATTTAAAGAATTATGTCAGTCATATGTAAAAATTTTGTCAGTCATGTAAGTCTTTTAACATAATTTTGAGATTTAAAAATAATATAACTGTAAGCTGTACTTTTCTTTCAAACAATAATGTTTATTTTGGGAACAAATCATAAATACTTACTCATGTGTTTTGCAATCAAAGATTTTTTCGAAATTAGGAAACAAAATAAGTCAAACATATTATTTTACAACGGATATCTATTTGAAATACACATAATTATTATATACTTATAGATGAAATATTGAGAAATATTGATAAAATAAAATGCATATTTTCATTTTCCGTATTTTCACTGTAATAATTTAATTTTCACTTTGGTGAAACACATTTTCCGTATTTTCACTGGTGTCTAGACGGACTACTTTCTTTTAAATTCTACCAGTACACAACATTTAAGGGAAAGTCTTTCAAATTGTAATGTCAATAAAGAGGAAAATGTATATAATAAACAGAAAATTCAAGTTTTTTCTGTAACCACATGATTTATTTTCATCTTGTGGCATGAAAATTAACATATTTCACTCATGGCTACCGCCACTCATGAAATATTTATTTTCACACCACTAAATGAAAATAAATCATGAATTTACAGAAAAAACTGGAATATCCTCTATATATATTGATTAATATTGATTATTTCACAATCGCGTGTTCCAATTTCTTATGTTATTAGAAGAAGCCGAGATCATGGTACATATCACTTGAATTATAATTTGATTTCAAATAAATACTTTGTACCATAAAATTGGATATTTTTCATGCGAAAAACGACTTTTTTTAATTTGCCTAATCATTTTGTTTTATTTGTTATAGAAAAGATTTTGTTTGGTGTTAAGTCCCCCGTTACACTGACAATTTCAAATTTACTTGTGAATGGAGACCATGGGTGTCCTTAAAACTGGGCACGAGTGAAAATAGAAAAGCTGGTGTTCACGAAAGAAATATATTTCAATTTTATATGTAAAACAAATACATTTTCTTTTTATCTCATGCTTTTGAAGTGATTTTAAGTATTTGTTTTACAGATTTTGCCGTGTAACGTCGCGCAATCTAACACGCAAAACAAACAAATATTATCTATATAACATTTTAAAGGCCCATTATGCGCCAGAAATTATTTATTTTTATTTCCCAAAAGAAAGCTTTTTTTATTTTTGGTGTCCTTTTGTTTTTCCAAAAATTACTCGTATTCATCTTTTGCTTACATGTGTGACCTTTTTCATTATCCCTTATGTACAGACTCAATCAAACCGAGTCTGCAATTTTCATGTAATTTTGTTGTGATTAATGGTTCCGAGGGATCACTTTGTTTCCAGATTTTTATACTTCACAACAGCAGGTGTCAAGTGCCGTGTGGCAGCTGTAAAAAGTTGCCCGTACTTCACTTCAGTGTTGTTATATTTTTCTGGTCCTTCGGAATCATTGATGCCAGCACTATTAAGTATTGAGTACCGTTCAAGCCGGTGCTAGGGGGCGTGAGGGATGTTGCACTTATTCATTATCCCTCATGTACTGACTCAATAAAACCGAGTCTGCATTTTTTTTCATGTATTTTTGTAGTGATTAATGCTTACGAGGATCACTTTGTTTTCAGATTTTTGGCAATGAGTACAGTTATATTGATTTAGTACTTGTTATGGTAGTCAAAATACTTCTTTGTTAACATTTTACCACTTTTATGACAAACAGATTTCACATTCGAAGCTATATTCTTTAAATTATATGAATCTAATGTATTCTCAAACCATTACTTACACATAATATAAAACACATAATTTGTGTCTTTATGATGACTATTTTGCGTCCCTCAATCAGGCACAAGTAAAGACAATATTTCTATACATTTTTACACTGAGTACATTTTTCCACAAGTTCATCAACTGTTTTAATTTAATACACTAAATACATTCATAATTAATTTTAAAATCTCTCTATAACATTGCGATCAATCAGTTTATCTGTCATCAGACACTTCAACTATAATAAAATCCTTTTGATGGTTGATTAAAAATATTTCAGGTACTAACAAAGTACAGTTGCTGAAGCACGAGAGCTTGTCTTACAATCGTCGGGTGATTAGTGTATTGTATTTTACATGTCACATTATCGTCTATTCCCATGTGGGCAAATGACATTTAGAGCGCCATTCGTTAATGTTATTAATTGGAAAATCTGACTGGTTGTTTTAATCAGATTCACGCCGTACTCTGACAGTGCTGGAATGGTTTAGAACAAAACTGTATCCGGATCAGTAACATTGATTGACTTTTTTACATTTATTTTTCAAATTTCAGAGGAAGAGAAACCGTAGTTTTACAAAATGTTTAAATTCATGGCAAGATGTTTAATTATGACAGGTGTTGCACAATTTCAACCTATGTTAACACAGTCATCGGCAATCAATGACACGGGGACGCTTATGAATGATATACTCACGGATTACAACCTCTATGTCAGACCTGCAATTGATCTAAACGAGACTATCTACGTATCAATGGGATTATCTATCTTGTCTGTGAAACAATATGACGAAAGAGAAGGCACACTTTCTCTTATAGCTGTATTGAAACTATCTTGGTATGATATCAGAATGTGGTGGGATCCAGCTCTGTACGGAAATATCAAAGAAATACTCATCGGATATGACAAAGTTTGGGTACCAGACTTATATTGTGTAAATTCTGCGGTCACGTTTCTTCCAGTTGGAACCAAGACGGAAAGAGTACGTTACAATCACACCGGTTACGCACTTTTTGCTCCCGGTTCACTTTTTACGGTATCATGTGCGGGCAATATGGAAAAATATCCGTTTGATTCCCAAAATTGTCATATATCTTTCAACGCTTGGAACTATAATACTGAAGAAGTTTCGCTGTTAAAAGAATTTGACAAGATCGATCTCACCTCTTTTGCGGGAAACAATATGTGGGCAATTGGCGAAACACGTGTTGGCTATGAAATTTATCCAAATGGTCTTCAGCTAGACTTCTTCATGGAAATAAAGAGAAAGTCCAGATTTGTTACAGTGAAATGTTTTGTCGTTTCCACTATTTTTTTTAGCTGTTTTGAACAATTTTGGGTATTCTTGCAGTATCCTGAACATCCGAGAAGCGAATTTCAATTATTATCAACGGTTTTTAACTTCTATATCGGTGTAATCTAATCCATTCTGATCAGTCCTTCCCCAAATGCTCGGAACCAGCTAACCAAATCATATCATATTAAGTTATTGCGGATTAGCGGTCAGTACCTATCATGCTTATACGGTAATACTCAACCTGAAACTTTACAATAAGCCAAATGATGAAAGAGTCCCGCATTATCTTATAGCAATGCATGAATTTCTGACATGTACCTGCAGAAATACTAAAGGAATAAAACCATCAACATACCCAAACAAAGATGACGGCTCAATAGCAAGTGTCGAAAATCTGAAAGAAAAGAAACCGCCAATTAAAATTGCAGACATTGTTGATACATTACAATACGTGGAACAGAAAAATAAAACCATAACTTGGCGGGACATCAGTCGAACGATCGATTCTTTCAGTTTTGTTGTCTTCAACGCCATCACTGTGTGTACCTTGTGCATCTTTATTAGAATGACCTATCTATGAAACATGAATATTGCACAATAACAAATGAATCCTTAGTGAGTTGATTGTATGCCAACAATGTTAGACATTAGAAATTCATGGACATTTACCATATTTGGGAGTGGGAGGAACAGACTTACCGAACAGAAAACATTGAAAATTTTCTTTTTTGAAAAAAAGAAAGAAAAAACAAACAAAAAAAAACGGATCTTAATTCGCTCATTGTTCATATATGTTTTTTTCTCCTTTAGAACTGTGTTTATCTAAGTTCTTTGCTGTCGCTTAAGAATTATCGTTAAAGACCCAATATCTTGTTTCCACGACATGATTATTTCGTTTTCACCAGATATTATCTTGTTTCCACCAGATATTATCTTGTTTCCTAGACATGATTATCCCGATTGTTTTCCACCAGAATTTATCTCGTTTCCACCAGATATTATCTCGTTTTCACCAGATATAAATATAGACACATGTCATCTCTGTGCCTTCGTGCAATTGTAAGTTAAACAAGAGCTGTCGGTAGGACAGCAACGCTCGACTATTCTTAGTGCTTGATAGTAAAAAAAATGCTTGATACAGTTACCTCCTCCTGTTTACAGGTCGGGGTAATGATGGTGAACAAGTGTGCAAAGTTTCAAAGCCATATGTAAATGATATTTGTTTGAGGTATTACAAAAACTTTAACATAAATTCTAAGTCGAAAAAGGGGCATAATTCCGTCAAAATGCTTGATAGAGTTACCTCCTTCTGTCTTCAAGTTGGGGTCATGATGGTGAACAAGTGTGCAAAGTTTCAAAGCCATATATCCATGGACTTTGAAAATATTTAAGGTATTACAAAAACTTTAACATAAATTCTTAGTCGAAAAAGGGGCATAATTCTGTCAAAATGCTTGATAGAGTTACCTCCTCCTGTCTACAGGTTGGGGTCGTGATGGTGAACAAGTGTGCAAAGTTTCAAAGCCATATGTCAATGGACTTTGAAAATATTTGAACTATTACAAAAACTTTAACATAAATTCTAAGTCGAAAAAGGGGCATAATTCTGTCAAAATGCTTGATAGAGTCACCTCCTCCTGTCTACAGGTTGGGGTCATGATGGTGAACAAGTGTGCAAAGTTTCAAAGCCATATGTCAATGGACTTTGAAAATATTTGAACTATTACAAAAACTTTAACATAAATTCTAAGTCGAAAAAGGGGCATAATTCTGTCAAAATGCTTGATAGAGTTACCTCCTCCTGTCTACAGGTTGGGGTCATGATGGTGAAGAAGTGTGCAAAGTTTCAAAGCCATATGTCAATGGACTTTGAAAATATTTGAACTATTACAAAAACTTTAACATAAGTGGTTACGCCGACGCAGACGCTGACGCTCGGGTGACTGCAATAGCTCTACTTATTCTTATCGAATAGTCGAGCTAAAAAATTATTGATTTATTTCGTTTAGTATTTATAGTAATGATAAAAAAGGTGTTCATATGTTATAATACTTATATGCTTGTATATTTGAAATGAAAATTGTATAAATGAGATTTAATATCTAAAAGGAGTGTTTGTCAAAATAATGGAAGAGTTGTTATTGTTCTATGATGTTTTGTATTTACAGTGTTTCTATTTATTGTTTAGAAGGCCACATTAAAAAATATGATGTTTATTGGTTTTACGATGGTATATCTTCATGTGCATGTAAATATTACCTTCTTGAAATAAAGATATTATTATCATTATTATCATTATTATTTAAGATATGTTCTAATTTTATTCTAATTTTATTCAACAACTACCAATGGTGTTGCATTTAGCCCTTAGCATGCTTTGTGTAATGGATTAACCCTGATTTAAATTTGGAACAGAACAATTCATCCTTTCTGCAGTTAATAGCTAGTTGCGACAATGTAGAGAGTCCGTTAACTACGCCGCTTATAGCTTTCAACGTAAACAGCTAGTGGCTGGGCAGGTGTAAATGGTGCAGTTAACATAATTGACTTTGGTAAATTATGTCGGGAAAAGTTTGTTTTTTTTTCAGTTTAATTGTGTTACTGAGTTTGATTAACATCAAAAGGTAAGTGTTTTCAATAATTATATATCCTCAACTCCTAACGTAAAAAAAACCTATAGTCGTCCTAATCCTAAAGTCGTCAATTTTCTCTAATCGCGCTTTCTCTCGCGTGAGATGCTCCAAAGTTTTGACGGCGGGTACTTTTTGAAGGTAAAGCTTTTTCCTTTTATACGCCTTTACAGGGGAGGGTACCTACAAAATGTTGCGCATACTACAACGCTAGACGGAACTGGTGTTTTTGACATTGTTTCTTCACTCGGGCATGTGACTTCACTACACACCATTCAAAGGCGATTGGAACACGTAACCATGTGTATATAATGTTACGTAACTATTGCAGCTTTGCCTATGGTTAATTTGTCTTATTTACCTCCCTTTGACTATCTATCATTATCATTTACGTATAAATTACGCTATATTTATAGTTGAGGAGTATAGGTTCAACATGACGGGCTTTGGTTTATTTAAATTCTAAACTAACGCTGATTTAACTGGGACATACGATAACGTTATCGCATGTCCCAGATTTCAATGAACCTGAAATGTTACTCAGGTCATTTATAAATTGCAATTATTTCAGATATGGAACGCCAGTCTCAACGGCCGCAAAAGTTGCGCAAGTGGTCAGATGAGTTTATGTCTTCTGCTTTTAAAGCAGTCAAATCTGGACAAATGACTAAAAGGTCAGCATCCAAAACGTTTGGTGTCCCGCGCATGACCTTGTCTGATAGAGTGAATGGCAAGGTACCACATAAAGCGAAAATGGGTGTAAAAACGGCATTAAATGCTGACGAAGAATCTGCGCATGTAAGTTATATTTTTTACATGGCGAATCGTGGATTTCCGTTTTCAATTCAGCAAGTAATTGGCTTCGCGTGGTGCATAGCGAAAGAACACGGTAAAGAGAAGGTGTTTACTAAACCGGGTCCGTCTAGGAAATGATGGAAAGGTTTTACTTTTATGTGAACAGTTTGTTTCTTTTTTATTTTATTTTTTATTTATTTTTTTTTCATTTTTGAAAGCATTCTTCATTTTCTGTCAATAAATTAGATGGCATGTCAAAATCACTTGTCTTTTTCTTCCCTCGAATACCCATAGAACATGTTGAAAAACAACTTTTTATTAACTTAAGACTTGAATTCAAGGTCGCCCTGGAATGCGAAAACGGATTGCCTTTGCCTTTCCCATGGGGCGGCCTTCAATATAAAATGTAGTTGGAGCTGGCTTTTTTTTAAACTACAAAAACTTGGTAACATTCGGCAGCCTACACTGAATTGCTAAAGAGCCAAAAGGCTTCAAAATGAAAAGTAAAAGAAATAGACCTACGTTTAATAGGCTATAACAAAAAATACCCTCGGTAAGACAGCTAAACAGGGCCCTTTTTATTCAAATATACATGTATATTATAAATTTAAACACGCTTGTACAATGTACTGTATCACTGCAAGTAATTTTGTTTGTATTTTGACAGGCAGTCCGCTGTAGCATAGTTTTATGGTTTGTGTGGGTTTTTTTTTTTACTTTTTTTCTTCTTTTTTTTTCATTAGAGGAGGTGGGGGCATGGAGTGCAGGTGGAAGCGGGGTTTCAGCCTTTTTAATGACGGACATTTTGGTTTTGGTCTTCCCATTGATTGAGCAGACGGCAGGTTGTAACCATTTATTATAAGTTTGCTCTTTTGAAAAAAAATTCACATTTACTCCATTGACGCTATACAGAGAATTATCACTAGTGAATAATTAATTAATCCAATCAAGAACAAATCATGACAATAATGGAAAATTAATTTCATTTCAATAAAATAAGTGAGGCCAAGTCTAGATGTGAATTGATCTTTATAACCTTGCCGAAGGACAAATAAAATAAATGAATACATTAAATTAAATGTATACAATCAATTAACATTTTTTTTGTAAACAGTGGGAGTTTTTTTTCTAATTACTTTTAAGTACTTTTAGGTAATTGAGAATGGAAACCTGATATGTAGTCAAATGATTATATCAATCACTAAACATTGTAATCAGATTCAATCAAAATAATTTAATACTTTAGTAATCCATTGCCGATTTTGTTTGTATACAACAAATACATTTACAAAATTACTCTGGTAATAGGAGGAATATCAATTTTGAAATATGTTTGATTAAAGATCCCTCGGTAGTCTGCGTTTAGTACTCTAGGGTAAAGATAAACGTTTATAATAAACACTCATTGTTCAAAGCAAACGAAGTCAATTCTACATAACAACAATATTATTATTAGAAAAGAACCATTCTGCGAACAATGGCCTTGTCATAGTTCTTTTATTCTTTTTAAATTTGCATATAAACAATGTCTTATTAACAGCTCCCTAACAACACGCCTGCTAGTCATAATCACAATTGGTTGTTAAGCAGTAACATGTAGATTTCTACAGAGTAATTCTATTACACCCCTTAATTAACAGGTTTCACTGCGCAAAAATACATCTATGCATGGTTGCAACAAATGGGTCCAAAACTTCAAACTTGGCCAAACATTTTATACAATGTATTTCATTTATATTGGAACAGCCTGTAACCTGTTTAAACCACTCTCAAGTTCGTAATCTAACCAGGACTGGTGTCATGTGAGGAAATAAGATTATGACCCCAAACAGGTATGTGACTTAAAAAGATCTCTGCGTTGAAAGGCAACACAATCATCAACGGGTAATCCGTTCCCTCGATAGTTTGAGTCAACATGCCACAGTAGTCAAGCCTGCATATAAAGAGCAGACCAGGTGAATAGAACTGGTCTCTGTAGGAGATGGTGTCTGGGTTCAAACCCACAATTTCTGGGTTGAGAGACCAGTACCTTAACTACCAGTCCACAGTGGGGTGTTTCCCTTTTGAAAGTTAATATCAGTTTTGAGGTAAGGCTCATATAAAAAAAGTTGAAAATTCATTCCATCATTTTACTGATTTTCTTCAAGCATAATTCATATACAACAATCAAATTTGACGAAATTTTCCCGTTTGAGAATAATTCACAAGTTGTGAATAAAACAAGATTGCTGTTGCTCAGTTAAAGCTGAAATTGAAATCTTTATTCATACAGTACAACATTAAAAGTGTAATCTTGTCCTTCCATTCACGATTATGATCTTATAAACTGTATGTAACAATTTGACCAATTACAATGTGACATGTAAGTGACAGGCTGCCATGTGATTTGCTACAATGTGACGTGTGATGTGTTAAAATGTAAAATCATGTTACAAAGTGTAGATAATAGTTATCATCTTATTTGTTGGTTCACATTTGTCTGTTTACGAAAGTTATTAAAGTGTTCCAGATACTGGTTAATTGTATCTCCTGCTGTATAGAATGTGTCCATCTTGTTTTTTACTAACACTGGAAGTGTCTCCGCCACATTGCCTAGAAAACTCTGCATCAATTCTCGCATTAGATTCCAGCATTCATTCGGCACACTACAGGGACAGTATTCAACCTGAATTGAATAGAAAACAGAGAACATTTTATTTTTATAATCTAAATCATTAATTACTACAATATCACAAAAGTAATGCATAGTGATCATGATAACTTAAAATTTCATTAACGAGTAAAATCAAATCAAATTCTTCAACTTATATTAATTAGATAATGATATATTGTTTCTTTCAAATCTATGCTTTTGACATGATAAACATTTTTGTGTAATAGTGACATTGTAAGATTTTGTAAGATCTTAAATTTGTGGATTCACCTACTCATGAAAATCACTAAAATTCATGCTCCACGAATAAAAAAGATATTGCAGTAATGTTCAAAATTTTATATACCAGATTAAATCAAACCTGATAATACTGCACTTTTTACTAAAACTAAGTAAAAAAAGATCCAAACAAATTTACATTATTGACTTAACAACATGATTATGTCATTCATACTTTTCCAAAAGTAACACTCACTATGTTTTTCCCTCCTGATAAAAAGACTTATTATTAATATCAACAAGAGCTGACTTAATAGAGACAGAATGCTCGACTAATTAAAAAGGAAGGTAAAACTATGAAAACAAGTAATTATCCAAGTATTGCAAGCTAATTGGTTAACCCTACAAAAAGTATATCAGCAACATTCTGAAGGGCCATGGTAATTCATTTAAGCCATTGTGGAAGACATGAATGCCTAGTATGGAAATTACAATTATACTACAGATAATCAAAGATCAAATTTTCTCATGACGAATATTACCTAATGTTTCAACTTTTCTATATTTTAAGTAAATTTGTTTGAAAAGTTTCAACTTCTTTAATAGTGATCTTAGGAAACAGTTTTTAAGGACAGACTGGCAGACAGACACACAATGGGCGAATCTATCAACATCCCTGGTTGTAAACAGAATAGATCTATAACACTTCAACACTTTTTAAAAAAATCTTAAAGAGGAGATAACTCTTGAAATAGAGATGTTAGACTGCTCAACATTGTCATACATGATGTGACTGATAACAAAGAACCATTATTTTAAGTCTGAATAAAGTAGATACCATTTATAGTAACAAAGAAGAAAATTGAAAGAATAACTTTCAAATATATACCATTTATACCATAGTAATAAAGAAGAAAATATATAGAACAATTTTAACATAAATTCCAAGTTGGAAAAGAAAATAATCATGGAAACCAATGCTTGACTTATAAATCTAATCACATATGATGTAGGTGTTGATAATGAACATATATTTGAACTTTTAAGTAAATCCATAAAGAAATAAGAAAGTTATAGAATAATAATTATTAAGGAAAATTCAAAGTATAAAGGGAATATAATTCTGGAAATATGGGCGCTAGATTTATAACCTTGTCATATTTTTAAGATGTGAGAGTTTGAAGAAATAAAAAAGTTTGAGTAAAAAAATAATAATTTCTAGATAAAAATCAAAGGGGACATAATTCTGGAAATAGTCAAGCTAGAGTACTGAATCTACTCATACATGATTTGAGATAATAAGGAACATTTAGTACTTGAAACTTGAAGTAGATACCGAAAGAAAGAAGTTATAGAAAACATTAAAGCTGCATGCCTCCAGATGAGCCAAAATATTTCAAGAAAATAAAACTTGAGAAAAAAGTATTGATGTTTTATGAAAAGTAAAAAGACTAAAGATAAAAGTAATAATTTCCATGTTATTTGCATTGATGGCCAATTTTTCAGTAATTTTCACCATATTTCTACTGTGTTACTAACGCAGTAAGGGTTAATTTTGCATATTTTGACCTCTTTTTTGTTATTGGCATTGGTTGTAAGTGCCGTTTGAAATGTGCATATTATTTTTTCTGTCAGCTTGCCAATGTGGTCACAGATGCAGGGTTGAGTAGGACAGCTCTCACTATACTTTGTATAGTCGAGCTAAAAATACCTATGATTAACTTAAGTGGTGTCCAAAAACTATTTCTGTAACCTGGCTGTTATTGCAACCCCCTCCTTCCCCCGGCAACCATGACACAAAATTTAACTATTTTTTACTTTTAAAAAAATCCCATTTGGCACCTTGGCTTACTCAACAAATCTAAATACTAACCTCTACAAGAATTCCTTTGAAATTTGATGCCATAGAAACAGATCCAATTTTAATAATAAAGTCACTTAATTCATATCTTGGTCCTTTGGATTCCATCTTAAATCCTTTCCTATGTTGATATAATGGTTCTTTTCCAGCTTTCACCTGGGTAAGTTTGGCTATGAGGACTTCAAATAAGACGTCTGCTATCAGTGTTGTTCCTGTATCCAGCACAGAGAAACACGACGCTGGCTGTTCACTGTTGTGCAGAACATGAATCAAACGTTGTTGTGTACTCCCTATAAAGAAATAACAAGTTATTTGAAATATACAACACATCAAAATGTTTTTGCTCCCTAATATTATAAAATAGTTACATAAAAGTAAATTTTGATAATGGCATTTGAAAATTGT